AGCGCTGTTCATAACCATGCCAAAACCTTTGGCATTGGACCAAGTAGAAATTACTCGGAACGAATGCTGAAATTCTCAGAGTCTTTTTAGGTAACAGATCAACTCTGAGTTGATCTCATTCAGGGGAGACAATCGTATCGGTACCATCGTCACCGTATCCTAGTGCGGCCTTCTCTAGAACTGGATTAGGTATTGACTTTTAGATATCTGCAGTCAAAGCATCTTGGACTATTGCTATCTATCTTCTCTTACATCTAAAGATTATTTACTTTGAATTAGATCAAATGAAATCTTCATCACACTGGACTATGATAGGGAAGGCCACGGGCTGTCTACCAAAGCATGAACAAACCCAACTGTATCCTGTTTCCGGCTTGCTTCTTGCAATATCTCAGATCTACACCGTCGGTGGGCCAATGGTAAACTTGAATGTTATTGGGTTGCTCTGTATCTCGTCCTCGCCTTGACCGAATATCAATAAAATGGGGGTCACTAATATGTGCAAGCCGCGGTAGCATTTCTCACCCTGACCCGTCTGCCCGTGTGGTCCTGAGCGCTTACGTGCATCGGGATTTGATGCGTAGGTATCCCCAAGTATGACAGCCTTTATCAGCGGATGTCATAGAAGCCAGGCTGCCCGTACCCTTATTCGACGTCATAGGGGCCATGTCTTGGAGTTTTTCAAATATGGAAGGATGAAGCGCTAATTATTGTTACCGATTTACGCATCCGTTGTCCGCGTGAGTGGCGACTTGGAAGCCACTTGGAGGATTGGTCCTTATCTTTGAGCAATAGTACGAAGAGTTATTTTATAGCGAATTTGTAGTATTACACAAGCCGTCCCCGTCGTTGGGCTCTACTGTGAGATGGACCATACAGAGTCTTCCGAATGTCTAGAAGCGGGTGGTGATCATATTGAGTAAGATAGGGCATTAATGATGTATCAGAAAGACTAAGATCATGCCTATGACCGGAAATGTGCATGCTTCCTAAACGGGATATCTTATATCAGCGCGGAGCCGGCCTGCGAACCCGCGGTCACGTAAGGATCGTACCAAGTATTCAAAAGACTAGGACGATCCCCGGATAGAATTATTTGAAAAGAAGGTTATTGGTTCGATCCTTACCGCTTGCTACACGCAGGGAACAGTCCAATCTGGATCTCGCATGAGAATAGAGCGGCCTAGATTTAACAGCACCGCATTATATGTCTTATGTTTGGTAATGCCGCAATTCGGTTCGAATTGCGTAGTAATTCCCATGGTATTGTAAGCGCTACCAGTGGTATTCTGTTCCTGAAACCAGAGCGGCATGAACTCCCATGCCACTTGCTTCTTCTCATCTTTCGGGGATGTTGGGCTTCGTCGTGAGGTTATTGGGATAGGCCTGGCCCGCCACCTTTGCTTTTGTTGGGCTACACTACTCCGGTACTGAGACTGTAGAGTAATACAACTTACGTATCACCAGCCTCAGACAAGGCTACGAAGCACAAAGTCCTTATTGGCCAATTGTTTCTCATGGAGCCGATTCCGAGGGTAAGGTAATGACAATATAGCAGTCGGTGCACAGGGCAAAAGGTGCGGAATCCTTAGTTGCGGATTCGATTAACAAATCAACATCACTAACATCATTTGTGTCCCGGTCCGTGGTGCCCGTGCAGTTCAATAGCCAGACCTGTCACTGCAGATCCAGTATGACTAAGGTGGAACATAAGGAGACTGGGCGTGGGGGTTTTCTCATTCTATGAGGATTCTCTGCGGCCGAAAGGTGAACAACTCCGCTTGGGCGAAAGCCAGAAAAAGCAAAAAGAAAGCCACATGGAACCCTAGCTCTCAGACGTTCCTGTCAGCAATACAGATGCGGCTTTTCTTGTCCTTCCTATTATCTCTTGACGAGATAGCCGTCATCACTTCTGTGATTTGCTGGTGTAGGAAACAATAAGCCGGAGATATCCAATAGATGTCATCGCCGGTCCTGCAGCTCGCAGCCTAACGAAGCTTCATGTGTTCGCGACACATGCAACGGGACCACCCGCTCTTCACTTATGTAAACCCGGTCTCTGGCCGCCGGATTCCCATTCCGGTATCAGGGGTTGCCAATCCTAGCATGTGTTCTACCAATCCTCATCGGCGCCAGTCGTACGGAACAGGAGATGGCAGAGGACCCTGCCGCTCTAGCCGAATAGTTGTGTGGCTGGTAGTTGACTCACCGTACTATGCCTAGCATGCTGTGTCTGATGATGTTATGATGAGGTTTAAACGCCTTTGCCTTTCTAAATTTTCGGCTTTTTCTTTTTTCGATTACAGAATCGGCCGGGCTGTGGCGTCACATTTGTATTTCAGCCAAAATCATGACATATACCGAATGAACGCGCGGTCCGCGGCAAGCCTATATCGAAAAAGAGAACTCTCTCGGTCGTTTCCGGATGAGAAATGTAAAGAAGAATTATGCCTCGTAGAATTCGGATAGACTGGCCCCGGATGCACCTTCAACTCTTTAGCGAGCGAGATGACTTATTACCCCCGGTGGCCTCAATGTTTCACTCTGGTGAACTGGTTGAAGGAATTGTTAGCTAACCGCAGTCACCTCGTGGATTGTAGCCCAACAACCCCTTTTCAGTGCTGACTGCATATTGATTGCATCGGCGTACCGCATTGCAAAGTCCTTGCCACGCAACCGAGGGGTCAAAATACAAACCCCACGCCATTCTATGCATATCTGATCAGGCCGTCTGCCGGGTGCCGGCATTCCTTGCGTTGCATTGCCTCTCCCCTAACGTGCAGCGTTGTTTTATATAGCACAATGTACCTATTCATGATTATCAGACACCGTGTTCTCGCGGTTGCATGTAAGCGCTTCGAGCAGGTGAGAAAGGTAGTAGGAGGGGGAATTTGCCCATCAGATGAGCCGCGGCTGTAAGAGTAACGAGTAACTCATTTATCATTTTATAATTAGATAAACTACCGTGAAAGATACCTGTATTTATTAAGATACGTGTGGGGGAAATAGGTAAGAAGCGTCCGAAATTATGATTCTCTTTTCTGTCGTGGGGGTTAGGGGTCATTGAAGCTCCTTGTCCATATGTTCGGGTTCGGGGAATGAGATCTTCCCTCTGCATGATTATCTGACCGTGGTAGTCTGGAGAAAACTTACGAAACTGTAAGGGAAGAACCACATGATCTGGTGAGGGTTTTCCCCTTTCTTCTTCTTCTGCTGATATAATAGGTGTAAGCCCTAACTCCTCTTATTGCCCATTTCGGACTTCTCCAGCTTTTTGTCCAATGCCATCACACGACCAACCCGAGAGCCCGGACGTATGATAGTATTGATCCCTTCAGTATCACATAATCCCAAGCCATCATATGGCGGCCGTTTATGCCCGTTTGGAGCCCTCGAAGTGAGCCTGAAACAGCTAGCTAGAGAACTAGACAGAAGAAGGGCAAAATGCCCGATGTTGGAGTCCCTTACCTTACCTTACATCTTGCCACTGTCTTCTTTTACGCGATAGTCTCCGTTATCGCAACACACAGACGTAGCTTTGCTAGCCTCTGACCCCTAAGAAGTCGTCCTATTACTAAACTACGTTGCAACAATGCGAGGCTTGTAAGACGGGAAATCCAGCGAAACAGGTCAGCAACCAGGACACAGAAGGTCTTGGATGGGCCGAAAAACCAGGTCGGGGAGAGCGGTTGCCGAGGGATCCTTCATATCCACATGGTCGTGGTAGGTAGTGTTTGTGGTGGTGGCGTCGGCGGCGTTTATGAGACCGTCTACTGGTAGTAGTAGCGAGGTGTTATTGGCGATGAAAATACCTAGGTATGTAGTACTTTAGACATTACATACATATTCGAAGCATACATATAGTGACAGAGTGCTACCACTCGCTGTATGACATTCGCTAGCTCGGGTAAATATATGTGCAAGCTGGTCTATAGGTTAGGTACGTAGGCATCGTACAAATAATAGCGCGACAAACGCTGACGGAGTATTGTATCGTGCGTATCGTATCGTGCGTTATTCTTTGCATTCTGTCTCATACCAACCCCCAAAAGTTCCCCCCTCCCCCCTCCCCCCCAAGGAATGGGATACCGATTCATAGGACTAGCGCGGCATGGCCTGCAAGGTCCGAACTGCGGGGTACAGGGTTGAGAGAAAGGCTTGGGTGATCTGCAATGTCTGCATTTTATGACAGGACTGACTGGTGATCGGCCGAGGATTTACTTGGTACATGATGCAGAAGGGTCTTGTGTTCCTGTCCTCCCTTGCGACTGTCTCGGGTGATGGACGTGTTTCCAATGGATGCCGGCTGCGAAGATCGGTTAGGTAGTACGTGGTATGCGACGTGCCGTCATGATGTGAAGCTGGGTTGGGGTAATGTGGCAGCGTGGATCATGCGTGATGCTGTGGCATAGAAGAATTGGTGGCGCTGCTGCCCGTTCGAAATCATGGGGCAGTGGTAGCCGATATCCTAACCGTTATGGTCGTCGCCGTCCGAGCCTCGAACGTGCTTCTGTCGTGCAAAATACCTGAGAACTTGGCAGACAAGTCCGCTAGAGACGCTTAAGTTTAGAACTAACCAACCAACATGTTAGAATTACCGGCAGTTATAGCCTATAGCGTTTCTCGTAGCATACCTAATAGCATACCTAATAACATACCTAGTGAAGCTATATCGATGGTATAAGTGAGAGAAAGCCGATTACGCACTAAGCGAGATGTGGCTATGAGAATCCTCCTGCATCATATTCCTATGGAAGCTCTACATTCTAGCCTTTCGACAATAGCTGATAGTAACTCTTACTCGGGTACCTATTTTAAGAGCCTTTTAACACAATCATCCTATACCAGGGGTCAAGGACAGCTGGTAAGTCTTTTTGATTCCATAGTTTTTGCGCTATCCCGTCCATGTAACGCCGTTCAATCTCATAAACGCCAAGCGCGTGGCCCACTCCGTTGTGAGAACCCAATTGAGCCCCATGATGCCTAGTAGAACCTAATTCCCCAGATTTTCCTCTAGGCCAAGCTCCGCTCCAGGGCCATTACCTCCTCGAATCCATTTGTAATCATGTTCATATGCTCGCCGCTTGGCAGCCCGCATGGCTTCCGTGGTTCCCCGCCGTATCCCTCAAAGTGCTGCAAGGCAGCCTTCACTCCAGCAAACCCGGTCTGGATGGCGATCCAGTCTGCTTTGGCAACGATCGCTTGCAGCCGTCTTGCTTCCTTTAACTCACCTGCATGGAATAGCTCGCAGATACGAACACAGGCTCGAGGTACCAAGTTGGCAGTTCCAGCAATCGTCCCGTGCCCACCCACGACGAGACCCTGCAGGATGAAGTCTGCGCTGCCTCCAGCGACGAAGAAGCCGGGTTTGGCCCCGTCCACAACCCGAGCCAATTTCCCTGTATTTCCGCAGGTAAGTTTAACGCCGTGGACGTTAGAGTGCTTAGCGATTTGAAGGATTGCGTCGGAGGAAAGGTCCAGACCAGAACAAGCCCCGGGGTAGTTGTAGATCATGACTGGAATCGGACTGGAGTCGGCGACATCGTAGAAATGCTGAACAATCTTGGATGTGTCGAGGAGCCCACCGTAGTACGCGGGAGGAAGTAAGATGACATAGTTAGCACCAGCGTTGGCCGCATCACGGCATAGCTGGATTGTCTCGCGAGTAGACTGCGCACCACAGCCTGCGATAATTGGCATGAGGTGGTGGTCTGCCTCGTCTAGCGCCGCTCTTGTGGTCTTAATAATGAGACTACGTTCCTCCCTACTTAAATGAACGGCTTCTCCATTAGACCCATGTACGACAAGACCTGCAACGCCAGCCTCGGCCAGATGGATAGCGTGGCGCTGGGTTGATTCCAAGTCTATGTCGTCATTTTCCTTAAAGAAAGCCACGGTGGGAACGTAGACCCCATCGGGCAGAGGCAAAGACTGAACTGGAGATTCCGTCATGGGTTCGATTAGATCTTGTAAAGTTTCTTGTAGGGTTCAAGAGAGATACACGTAAGGATACGTGAGAGAAGGGGTAGATGATGAAGTTGTAGGGAAAATCACAAAGATTCTAAGATGCTAAGGAAGTAGGAAGTAGCTCAACCTACGCGGGATTCGCTCTGGTTTATATAATAGAGGGTGGATATGATAAGACGGTTCTTTAAGAGTAAAGAAGAAAAGCTTTGAGCACTTAGAGTGTAAGGGGAACGACTATGGGAGTACATATGAACACCCGGATGGCAGGGGGGAAGTACGGTTTAAATACCTTAATATTCCTCTCTTGTTGGCGAGAAGGTGTACGGCTAGGTGTTTGCCTCGCTCAAGCCGACGAGACTACCTCGTTACCTTGCTACCTTGGTAGGTATAAGGCGAAGGACGACTAAGCACGGGACTTGACTGGCTAACTATCCGATCCTCCTTTCGTCAAGGCAGACCAATGAGGTCGTAGAAGAGTCAAGCAAAGACCGAACAGAGCCGCTCAGGGTTTTTGAAACTCGAGATATTACTGGAAGAGCTGACCTGACTGGATACTGACTATGAAGAGGCTACGCCATGCCGTGGAGTGCGTGGGGGTGTCATGTGGTTGCTGAGGTTTTCCCCTGAGCAGGGAAATCCAAGTTGACCAAGACTAGATGAGACTAGAGAAGAAGCATGGTTGAGTTGAGTGTACCATCAGGGACTCGTCGGTGGGCTTAGATGCAGCTCTGACACGGAGGGCACTGCATAGGCGTACTGAGGCATACCGTGATGATTGGTTCATTTTGTATAATTTAGGCATGCAGACATGAGAAATTGGGATGTAGGACGTAGAAACGTAGGCCTAATCCTTTAGGGTCTTCTATATTCCACGGATAAGGTGTATGCACGTACGGGAGGCATCTATTTTCAGGGTCGAGACCAATCTAGGACGGGCAGAAAGAAAGCCAGGTTGTATTGTTGGGTGAAATACTTAATCCATGTTTGACGAAATGCGGTGAAGCTTTTGTCAATCAGGCAGTCGAGAAAAAAGGAATTGAGAATGAGGGGCGCGTCTAGGTAGGGTGGGGAAGTTTAAAAGTGGATACATCCTATTCACCGTGGGGGGAAGGTGTAATCAAGCCGTCAGGGCTATGTATGAGGGAGAGTTCAGGTTAGGACTGTAAGGTACGGTACGTACTCATTTTCCCAATACCTAAGGTACCTAGGTACATATTTCCATCGATGCATTGATCCTTGGAGCACGTTCTAGCGCCTGCGCATACTGCTGCTGTGCTACCTCCTACACCTACTTCGTACTTTTGTACTTTGTACTTCTTACTAACCCCCACGTTCCTCATTCATCAATTTCATCAAGAACGAACTTAAAACGATGCAAACGCCCTAGCGTTGCTCGGCTCCGTTTTTATTCCGGGTTTCGAACCGGGGACGGGGACGGGGACTGGGACTAGGATTTGACTACCTACAGTACCTACCTAGTTAGAACATACTAAGTTAGACATATATCCATAATAGTAGTTAAACTTGACCATTCTCGTTGAGCCCACCCCCAACTTATTCCTGGAAAGTTTGGGGACGCGCCCCGGAATCCTGGTTTATACCTTGTATGGCTTCTCCCCGGATCCATTTGAGTGGGTGGACGAGGGGCGGACGAGGGGCGGACGAGGGGGCTAACACCATGGTCTATACCTCGTGCTCTTATACCGCATATCAACGACAAACACGACACCACCACCCCTTCCAAAACTATCAAGCGAGACACACGTATAAACTGCATGATACGCACGCTAAGACTCTAAGTTTAGTAGTCTAGTATAAATACCACTCTCGTGTAGGATGTCCGGTACATCTGTCGGTTCCAGAGAAGAGGCAAGGGATATGTAAGTCAGGACTAGTACGTATCATCAGGCCATCTTCAGATCATTCAAATTACTATGTAGTAGCTCAAGTATCGGCTAGCTCTCGGGAAGAACTTGGCCTCGTCGTCGGTGTTCCACTCCCTCGGTTCCCCATACCCAGGGATTCGATTTGGTAAGCCGAGTAGCCCGGGCTAGATCCTCATAGGGCTCGCTAAGAGCTTCCTTTCGATGCGTATCCCACCGAGTACGAGGCCACGGGGCTGCGAGAAAACCCGGCGGCCTGGCTCATTTTGGGGGTACAAGCGCATGCTGCTCAATATTGGTGGTCTATTCGTCAATATCCGTTCTCGCATCCGTCAACGCCCTTTTCTGACACCGAAGTCTCGTATCATCGACACTGATGTTGACAGGTCGAAGTCAACTGCGCTGAGGCTGCATTAATTATGCTATAGTGATAATTCTCCGCGGGGAAAGGACCGGCCACATTTACCCTTTCTTTAGCATCGTAAGTTACAGCAAACTACATAGGATAAAACTCCAGAAACGAGACTCACGTGCGATTGAGAAGGCTTTATGTGGGGGTCAGAAGCTAGTATTGGTACGATCGACACAGGGGGTAAGGTGGCTTATTCCCGGGAGCCTTCCCCTCGGGAGGGGATGATCATTGGTTCGGTCTTCTCGTAACATATCAGATCTTTTAGGTACTATGTAAAGTACTCCCTCGCTATTATGCAATTGCTACTATCCGATATTATCTTAATTTCACCTGTTGGTAGAATATCATTTATCAATTCTGTAGCGGAATGGCATGGTGATAGATGAGTTATTACAAGTGGGACCAGAAGGAATATACCCTAAAGATAGATGCAGGTAGGTAAGTGGATCATACGTATATGATTGTTGGTCTTTAAATCAACTTCAGTTCCATATTTTATTACAAGTTAGCTAAATTTCACTCCGGTCCCGGTGCGCGCCGGTGGAGGTTTTAGGGTAATCCGGAAGTACCGGAAAGAGCCCGGTACGTACGGCGTCACGGGCTAGTAACGATCATTAGTAGATATGTAGTCATAGGAACAATTGTCCGCTTATGTACAAAATTCCACAATATCACACGACATAAGCAGGTATCTACGTTAGGTAAAGTTCTACAGCAACAAACTATACTGTAGTAAGCAGATAAAAACTAAGGTTTTTGTTGGTATGATATGATGGTAGGAATGTTATAAACCAGAAACTATGAAGATACTAGCAGACGTAATAATCGAGAAATATCACAGACCAATGAAGATTGTCATAACAACAGTTGCACAATAAAGGTAACCTCTTCGTTACATCCCAAAAAATTAACAAGCAATGAAAATCATCAGAGTTAGCTCGTCTTCCTCAAATATCAGTGTCATAATTCCTCATAAATACCATATGAGGCGATAACCAATCAGAATTTGATTGAATATGTTGAGCAAACTTGGATTAGTTAGACACTATCCTCATCCTTGACATACCTGATGCTTGCAGGGGATCAAATGAGGCCTCCTAGCGGCTAAGGCGATACTACAACGGGCTGCAACGTTTTGCGCTCACCGGTTCCCTCATATGTACATAGTAATGCTAATGGAAGTCATGAGGCCTGTTAATCGACCTAGGGAGTTTGTTGGCATCCTTCGTGTTCTGGTAGTTAGTGGATAGGGATACGTTGTTTTCCCGCGCCCCTTTCCATGACCTAAGAATGGTTACAATGGTCTATTTTCTCCACTTAATTAACGTCTAGCCCTACTATGTAATGTATCTTATTGTTACGGGAGGTCTTTGGAGACTTTGTGACCTAATAATAATCAAATAGGTATAGTGGCCCTCTCAATGTCACTTGTTATTTTCACGTCAGACCAACGGCTCTCGTCACAAAACGAAGAGTCACCAATATCTTTGATTCATATATATATATATTTCATTTCTTATGCGTGTTTTCCACATTCTTTATATGATCCTTTAACTCTAAAGCTTGTGTCTAATTCATTTCATATGGACCCCATTCTTTGGGCAATATGATAATTGTTATTCCAGCAGCATAGCTTACATTTACACGAAGGATATCGGGGTTAAGGGTATGCCCTGGGTAAAATAGTTTAGGAGAGATGGTAATTATATAACTGAAGTTGTGCGTTAGTAGGAGAATCTATTTATATATAAATGAAGGCTGTGTGTCTCTATGGCCTAGGAAATACCTAAACGATAGTGACGAGAGGCTGCTACCGTTTAAGTAGTTCACTTCTGGGTATGCGTGGAGTCTCAAAACATGCCTAATTACCTTAGTGAAGTATATAGTGCATACCTAGAGCCATACTGGCATGTGTCCCGGCTAGTCTACGAGAAGGGTTAGAATCATAGTAAGTACCTGTCAGTAGTAGTTTCTGTCATATCAGTTCTTATTACAATTGGGTTGATGAAAATTAACTCCCCATGGATGGGGGAAGTGTGCCATCAACTTCATTGGTATAGTTTGTGTCTAGTTAACAAACCCCTTCTAACAGAAGGATTCAATTTACAGTGGAAGATTAGGTACCTTAAAAGACTATTACAAGCGCTCGGGCCACCACATGATACGAGTGGCTAATGGTCATCACGATATGAGAAGGTTCAGACTGCTGTTGATGCTATATATTATGTACCTAGAATAGGTCCTTTGCAACTGCCATGCACTCTGTATATGTGGCTTTTACTCATTTATATGAAATGTAAACCAAGGAAGTAGCGAAACTGAACAGAGGTTAACATATAAGGTACCTATATTTCCATACCTCTACGTACCATACTCCCTCCTACCCACTTTCATACCCATGATTTCCTTCCTACCTCTTTCATCAACTACTTTCCGATCGTGAGAGAATACATGTATTTATTAATCCACTAACCCCGCACCTGTCTTGAGTTGTGCTTGCCTCCCTAAGTAAAATGTAAGTATTTCGCACAAGGCGTGTCGCGTCGCGTCGCGATTCCTTCTCTTTCACTGCAGTTACTCCTTTCGTTCCTGCTTCATTCGTAGCTTCTACCATCCATAGAGTCAATGCCTTTCTTTTTAAATCTCTCTCCTCTTTACCTACTATTTACCTTACCCTCACCTAATTATTCGTTCGCCTATTTTACAATTACTTTTTATCACCCTAGAACAATAGCATTCTTCTTCTAAATACTTTAGCCTTACAGAGTTGCAATGGATTTATGCACTTCTTATGGTCGTGTGGGCCTGGGAAACCACGACACCAAGACTGGGAGTGGTGATTCTACGGAATATGAGTATACCTGTCTATTCCCACCACATGACTGTCCTCGCGATGTCTGCGTAATCCATGGAAGACCATCCGCGGCGCAAATATCGATTAGGATGGCTGAAAAGGTTAGCCGTTACGACCCGACTAACCCCCGAGAGCTATGTGAGCCGGGCAGTTGGGCACTACGTTTACGCCAAAAGGAGATCTTTTCAGTTCCTGAAGAAAGAGGTCCTGGAGAGACACAGAAAGCGACCTCCTCGGCTGATTTCACAACTTCTCGGACAAACATGATGGACAGGGCTAATGCCGAGATGGTTCTGCCAGCAACTATTGGTGGAAGTGACTACTCTGAACCTTGGTATACCCCTGAATACTTATCGAATTCTTCAGGATTCCCTCAAGAGACGGAAGAGACGGAACTTCCAAACAGTAACCTTTGGAGGCCGGCGAAGCAATATGTGCTTGGAGCGAGTAAGGAAAATCGGAAGACAAATATTCCGGACAATAACGATTATGTCGACCGAGTATTTGCCAACGAGACTAAGCGTCTCGAGGTAATGAATTCCCATTATATGCCTAATTCCCGATTTCAAAGCAGTATGCCTCCTCTCATGTTCCAATTTGGCATCCGTTATGCTCCAGACCCATACCCGGCACCTGTCCCAGTATCACGAACCATCATGATCACCGGATTTCCTGAATCTACAACTCTCAGCGATGTTATGGCGCGAATCCGTGGAGGACAAATACTTTCCATCACAGAAGCTACGAGTCCCGATCCCGTTGGACCTACCGTGATCGTCGAGTTTAAAGAAAACATTGCGGCTTGGGCGTACGTCCACTACGTAGAAAGGGAGATGCCGTTTGTATTTTCTGGCGGTTTTAAGGTCACACTGGTAAGCTCACATAGCTATCCTACGAAGCCTGAGTTACAGCGTGACCTGTCCAATGGATTTACTCGACTAGTGGTTTTTCTCAATTTCGCAGAGAACCGCTCCTTTGAATTCTTTGACGACCTTGAGTCTATTCTTGGAAACCCAGAGGATATCCTAGAAGATTCATGGATCGAAAAGGGAGCCTTGTTTATCCTCTTCAAGAGTGTGGCCGCCGCCAGTAAATATTACAAGACAGTTGTATGGGACCAGGAAAGACTCGAGCCGGGCTCTTTTGACAGTAACTTACACCGATTCGCCCCGGATCCCTGCAACAAGCCGCTATGTGACCTGCAGCAACCTTTCCGACCGGCAAGATACCCTCATGAAAGCTTGCTGGACCAATGGATAGAAAGAAAGTCTCAAACAGCTACCTCTACTGTCTATAGTGATGATGTCTATCAGCCACACGCCCCGACTTGCGACCATGAAGAGTACGAGGATAAGGGGAGAGAGGGGGGAGTTTCGAGCCAAGCCGAGAAGAAGCAAGAGACGATCCAGCCCATCGTGAACCTACTTGACTCGCCCATCCACGAAATCAGCCACGAGAAATTCCCTGTCATAACCGAATCTCCGACAAAAGAACCCCAGGAACGATACACGCTTATAGACCTCTCTATAGACGAAGATAAAGACGAGAAAATGATACCAAAACATATACTGCCGCAAAACGACCCAGCCTATCACGAATTATTGCACCGTGATAGCTCCGATCTTGTCCGCCTGTCCGAGGCCAACGCCATCTTCCACGCTCAGCCCTTCCGAACTATTCCCAAGGCAGAAATGCGTGCACGATATTCCGGCATATTTGAGTCCTAGACTAAAAGGATTATTAGACGGGTGCGACATCAAATTTTCAAGAAGGCGTACCAGTATCAGAAATGGAGTTGGGATGCTTAGCAAGAGTCCCGTTCACAACTTATGGGTACACCATTCTCTCCTTCTTTAGATCGATGATGATACATCGTGGTTACAATTCTCTTTGTTTCTTCAAAGATATTTCACTAACCCTACAGTTCGGGTTTACTTGCGGGATATATCAGTCCTATGGGATAGCTAGCCCGAACTCGTCCTGTTAACTCCTGCGAGATGGATGTTTACACGGAGTTTCTGGAAGCCTTTCTATCTGCTTGCGTTATTTTCCTTTGATTCCTAAATAGGAGGCGTTCGCATCATCTTTCAGCATCAATGCGACTTTGCATTAACCTCCATCATGGCATTTTATTGTCTTTCGTCACGACTTTTCACTGGCAGCATTACCAGAACGGATTTCACGCGGCACGGTTTCCTTTCTACAGGTCGATTTTCCTTATTTCGTTGTTTTAGATGCGGTCTTCGGTTTACAGGTGGTGGTCTGGGAAAAGAGAATAAAAATGGGTAAAATAAATAACACGAAAAAGAAAAAGGGGAAGAGAAATGAATGGACGGGCAAGGGGAAAAGAAGGGGGGGGATTTGCCATCAGAAAGGACAGCATCTGCTCATATGCATATACTCGGTGCTAGCACGTACATGGAACATCTACACAAAACATCCCAAGGTCCATATCCAGGATGGATAGATGTAGAGGAGGCTATCTGAATGACCTAAGGGCTTAGAGATACTAAAGCTGCTTAAGGTGCTCTTATGAATTCGAGTTTCTTTGCCTTCCTACTTCCTTACCTTTTTTGTGTGTGAATTGCTAGGTATGACTTCATATATTATCGTAAACGAGAAACGGCACGTGAGATGCTATGTATGATTTTATGATAATTTACTAGTATTAATGTAGCGGTATGCTGGATGGCTACTCGAATTAGAGCGATCCCTTGGAGAATATATTGGTACTTAGGTGCCTTGGGTATCTAGGGGTATGCAAGTTGCAGCTTGGGCTAGGTAGGTAGGTACACATGTAGGCGAGATATTAGTGCTCATACTTTTGTAAGTTTACCAGCTCTCTAGCCCCTTATACTCATTACCTCCTTTGCTGTCAAGCAGATAGCTGCATCGATTATTAAATGACTCAAAAAGTTAGAAGCCGTACTCCGACCCTGGCCGAGGTCAGTGTAAACTCCCGTTTTCGTTGCTGAGACGAATAGCTGCGGCGAGATCTCTCATAAAGGCCGCACCTAACTCTTCGGGCTTCGGTCTTAGTCTGGGATCCCGCCTACTAGGGCTCGCCTCCTGCTCTGCTGCCACGACGAGCATTTCCTCTTCCCCATCATCTTCATCAGCGTTATCATAGTCGCCTCCCTGGCTGGTATACGATTTATCACTCTGGCCCGCGCTAATCCCTACCTCCCCTAGATCCTCCCCTTCTCCTGCAAACGCTTCCGCCACGCTCGAATACTTTCTCTTGAGAGTTGGTTGGCGGAATGACGGCATGTTGCTAGGGACATTATTGCTATTCTTCTTTTTCGGAGACGCTGGTGTGTGGCGGGCGGCTTTCTTCTTCAGATACAGTTTTACGAGCGCGGGCGTTATATTCTCTTCGGGCTCCCAGGTTGGGTTTTGATCCGGTGGCCAATCACCCTCCCAGCGTACCTTGAAGTACCGCACGTGTTTGCCATCGACATTTATCATCTTGTCACCTTCTAGTCGCTCTACCACCCATACTTGAGGTTGTTCCTCCAGCTGTTGAGGCGTAGGCTTTGGTTTAGGCGACTTCTTCAAATGTGTGGATTCTTTACGATTTGTACCGCTATTTTTCTCATTAAGTGGAGATGTCTGGGAAGGTATATCATTTGGTGAATGGGGTTGTGCCGATGGCCACTTGCCAGAACTTCGCCCTGCGGGTGTGAAGCCGCGATACTGCGGCGAAGCTGTTGCAAGCTGTGGGAGAGGAGCTTGAGTAGAACTATCTCCTTTCCTATTCGTTGAGCGTGGCCATGAAGGGACCGGGACTGGGACCGGAGTAACAGGATGCTTAGTATCGGGTTTTGGTTGCGGTACTTCTTTGTTCGACTTCAGCGGTGTGGGAACCGGAACTGGCGTCGTAGAGTACTTTGCGCCGGATATTTGCGATGAAATCATGCTTTTGTTTATATTAAATGGTAGAGGGATCGGGACGGGTGTTACGCGGGGATGGCTGTCGGTTTGTGTGGGTGAGGATTGCGGTGGGAGCTGTCTATTGGATCGGGGTACTTCGGGTACGGGGACATGGCTTGTCGATGACTTCAATGTAAGACTACCATTAGTGCGCTTGAACAACGTCGAATCCTTGTTTAGCCAGAGTGTTCTAGCATACGATCTGAATTCGGAACCCAACGACACGGTTTCGGGGATATTATCTAGTGGTATATCTCCCTCCCCCTTGTCGTCTTCTATGTCCATATCCTCAAAAGAGCCATCATTGTACCCACATAGTTGTCTGTATATTGCATCCTCCTGATCCACCTCATCGATATCCTCCTCTATATCGGTCGCAATCTCTCCAGCCGGCTTTTTTTTCGGTGTAGAGAGTGACGGTCCGGATGTACTGGCTAGGGGAAGCGCCACCTCGATATTCTGCGAAGTGCTAAGACTTGCCTTTGCCTGCTGTGCCAGCTGACGCGACTGGAGATCGGCTTTGCTTGGTCGACCACGTCTTTTCTGACTAGGTGCGTTTGGAGTCCCCGGTGCTGTTGAAGTAGAAGTCATTATTTTATTCTTTGCTGCTATTTCCATCTTTCTCCTCATTTCCGCTTCAAGTCTTTCATCCTCCTCGTCTCTTTCAAGTAGTGCTTTGTATTCGAAGTCTTCCACAGCCCGAGGTGAGACGTAGTCGTATATCTGGGTCGCGAGGATAGAGACGCGGGCGGCAGGTAGATCTGGCCAACCTACTACATAGTACATGTGAAGCTTCAGCTCACCATTTGGGGCGGTGCCTGGAAGAACACGCTTGTCAACTATAAACGCGTCTGTATCATGTTCGGGCTGGATTCTGAGAGGCGCTAATGGTGGACCGTCGCCAGGCCTGTAGGGTGGGGGTTTGGAGGGTAAGGGTATCTCGATCTGTGATCTTCTTATTTGTTCACTATCCATAAGTGCGGTTTGGATGTTGTTCCACCGGGGAACAGCTCCAATGGCTACCAGTTGTTCTGGTGGTGATGGGGATTGGTGATTGATGGATCGTGTGTTTTGTTCCAGGGTAGCTGTGCCAACTTAATATCACAGAAAATGTCTTGGCATAACTGGTGTGGGTCTTGCAAGTCAAATTCATGCAAGTTTACATGAACAAATGTATTATAACCTTCTCGAGAGTTTACTACCAATATTGTGTAGTGAAATTGTATAGTTGTATCCTTTGTTTTAATTAATATAATTGAAGGGTGAACACTTTTTGTTTAAGTTGGGTTAGGCACTTTCTTAGATATGTGATTTTAACTTTCCAATAACTAAAGAAATGATTGAACTGTACAAAGTACCTAACTACCCTATAAACTAAAATCGGTTAACTGCAATGGAATACATATTCATTAAATACCTAAGGCACCTAGGTACACCATAATTACATAATTAATCCTTTACCGCCTTCTATTTCCGTTGTCGCTCTTTCCCTTTCCCTTTCTGCCCATCTTGTGTCATTTTTGTGACTCAGTTGCCCCTCCCCCTCCATGTCAAAATTATAGTTGCTCTAACGAAGTAACGAAGAGCTTTACCTTTTAACACCTTTTAACACGTACTCAATTCATCATACAGACAATTAACTACGAGAGTCTGCTACAAGAATTGCGATCATGGGTGACTCAAATCCAAAGCCCTCGTTGCTTCCCGAGCCGGGAAAGCAAAGCGTTTTAATCACCAGCGCCCTGCCATATGCCAATAACGTCCCACATCTTGGCAATATTATTGGCAGCGTCCTTGTAAGTGAAGCTGCGTCGCAACCCCTTAGTATATAGAATAATATAGCAATATTGTAACTAACATACTTTAACCCTTACAAGTCTGCAGATGTATTTGCTCGTTTCTGTAGAGCTCGGGGTCTGCCAACATTATATATCTGCGGTACCGACGAATATGGTACGGCTACCGAAACACAAGCCCTTGCAGAAGGTGTAGATCCGGCAACCCTTTGTTCCAAGTATAATGCCATTCACCGCGACATCTACTCCTGGTTCAAGATCGATTTTGACATCTTCGGTCGCACACCAACTCCCCAGCACACTGAGATTGTCCAGGAGATGTTCACGCGACTTTGGGAGAACGGTTTTATTGAGCAGCGAGAGACGGAGCAAGCCTACTGCCCCGCACATTCTTCCTTTCTGGCTGATCGCTTCGTCGAGGGTGAATGCAGCTTGTGTCATGCAGCGGGTGCTCGTGGAGATCAGGTATGTTTCGTTGTTTCTTGGTGGACACCTCTATTTTTCTAACGCATCTGTCAGTGCGACGCCTGTGGAAATCTCTTGGATCCCCTGGAACCAATTGAAGATGCTAAAGCAGAATCTGGAGAGGACAGAAAAGCCACTGGTTGGCTGGTGAATCCCCGTTGCAAGCTTGATGGCGCAACACCCGAAAGACGAAAAACGAAGCACCTCTACCTCCGCTTGGATGCGTTGCAGCCCGAGATCAAGTCTTGGCTCGACAATGCAAGTAATAGCCATGAGTGGAGCTCCAACGCCATAGCCATCACCCAATCGTGGATCCACGACGGGCTCAAACCCCGTAGTATTACGAGAGACCTCAAATGGGGTGTACCGGGTATGCTAAGTCCTACACATGGAAAACGAATTGCGCTAATCTCATATGCCACGTAGTTCCTACCAACCTCCCCGGACTATCAGGGGATGATTATGACAAGAAGGTTTTCTATGTTTGGTTTGATGCCTGCAGTATGATATTGTACGATCTTTGTCAATCTATGTAGATATGCTAATGCGCGACAGTTGGCTATCCCTCCATCACAAAATGCTACACAGATAGGGATGACCCGTCTGGCAAAAACTGGGAACGATGGTGGAAGAACCCAGATAATGTATCTCTTTACCAGTTCATGGGCAAGGATAATGTTCCGTTAGTACTTTTCGACTAAAGAAAATCATATACCGGCTAACATCTCAAATTAGTTTCCACAGCATTATATTCCCCGGATCTCAGCTTGGTACAAGAGAAAAGTGGACCCAAGTTACCAAGTTGTCAACCACAGAATATCTCAATTATGAGGGAGGAAAGTTCAGCAAGTCAAAAAGCGTTGGTGTGTTCGGAAACAGCGCGAAAGATACTGGTGTGGCAGTCGATGTATGGCGATATTACTTGCTCTCTAGGCGTCCAGAGACCAGCGATTCTGAGTTCAGTTGGCGGTAAGTCATGAGTCTAGTTTGACACATCCAGCAACTTGTTGACTAATCACCTCTAATTTAGGGAATTCGTTGATGCCAACAATAACGACCTGCTGAAAAATCTCGGTAACTTCTGCAATCGTGTTGTCAAATTCTGTCATGCGAAATTGAATGCTGTGGTGCCTGATTATCGGACCTATAACGATCCTACCGGTTCTTTTCAGCAGCACAAGGAGGAAGTAAATGGTTTACTTCAAACATACATTACAAACCTAAAGGGTACCAAATTACGTGCTGGTCTTTCCACGGTTCTTAGGTACGACTTCTCAAATTATTCTAACAAGTATTCATGAACTAACAAAGTTTCTTTAGTATATCTGCTTTGGGAAATAAGCTACTGCAAGACAATAAGCTAAGCAACCAGCTTCTGTCCGAAGATCCAGAGCGCTGTGGCGCTGTTGTTGGTCTTGCTCTTAATCACCTACACCTCATCGCGAACATCGTGTTCCCTTATTTGCCAGAAACCGCGAATGGCATTCTCGAACAGCTAGGCGTCCAAGGTTCTGGAAATGATCGGTTTTCTATCCCAGATACTTGGACGGCTGATGTCATCCCGCCTGGCCAGGCACTCGGAGAACCAAAGCTACTTTTCACACTTATCCCTACGGAGAAGGCAGACGAATGGCGTGAGGCTTTTGGTGGTGAAGAGCTTCGAAAGCAAAAGGCTATCGAGCAAGAGAAGGCCGCAGCTAAGAAAGCCGCGAAGGAAAAAGAGAAGGAACGTAAGCGACTTAAGAAGTTAGGTCTTGCAGGTGGTGCTAAGGGCGAATCATCACAAGGACAGACAGAACAACTGCAGAAGCTTAGCATTACTGATAGTGCAGAAAGTCAACCTGCACAGGAAACACCTAATTAAAGTGGTAGGTTCTAGGTCCCTGCTAAGCTGTTTTTCCAAGAGTGTGATGTCGGTAGGGCGCTGGTATAGAGGTTTCTGCAGAGACACCTTAGGTTTATAGGTGTAGTTAGTGTCTAGAGAGTTGCGGATAGCTTCATTTGAGCAAAGAATGCGGATTGTTAAAGGGTTATAATGGCTCTCTAATTTCAATTTATCGCCGCTCTTAAGTCAGTCTAAATTATGAACAGAATGTGCTCAATTCTGTACCGTATAAATCATGCATTGGTATCTAGTGTGAGGTGGCTTGCCATAAGACACGTTCGAATCGATTCGGTTACACTGCATAAGCAGAAATTGGACACGGATTATCGTTTTTAAAACAGATTAGTCAAGGAACCAAGTCTCTATTTCTTTTCTTCTTACCATGAAGTTCCCATATTCCCCTCAAGTGCCTGATTCATTAATATTGAACACATAGAAACATTTTCCAAAATGGCTCCTAAATCATCAGCATGCGAAAGATGTTCTAAAATCGACTTCGAACGGCAATTCGCTATGAGTGATGAACTCTTCACTAGAACATTTTCTCAGCAGTACCTAGATCAGACATTAGAGAAGGAAAATTACCAGTAGAATCCTTAATTAAAGCGCAGCACCCCTTAGGGTGCGGTCGTCGAGTATACGTAGACAGCACTAGTACTTATTGTCGGGTAGATCATCAAACCAGACCAGGAGATAATCTCCTAATAGCATATATCTTTTTATTCAATATATGCGATATCCCCTCCCCGCCCCCTGGTTTTGATGATCACGGTGAAGACTGGAATTTTGTCAACTACGTTTCCCACGGATAGGTTAAGAAATTTTAAATATTCAATCTTTTACTCGCGGTCTATCTCAAATCTTAAGGTTTTTAATATTCTACCACTATAGCTGATAGAATCAATGCATTGGCGGTGCCATTCAGGGGCCGAGGCTCTTTCACTAAGGACAAGCTCCCGAGGACGAATAACATTAAAGGGCATCCAATGGCTAAACCCGGTAGCGTGGTACAAGTAAATACGCTCACTAGCTGTTCACATATAATTGCTAATTTAAGGAATAATAGAGGTAGATAGGTACTTTAAAGCGATAGTGTATTTCCAATGTACCATATAAGCCATATCTCTGTTTAGTCGCTTGCTGTTCGGGCTTCCTCGTGAATGATGATCTACTTCCCACCCCTTAATATATGGAGTTCGGACATTTTCATATATCCCTTACAGCATATCCTAATAGGGGGGATGACTATCCCTCAGGGCGATTTACCACCATACGGCTTTGTGGATTTAGGGTCTGGGAACTTGGTGAATAGGTCCCGGATCTTATCAATTGGTGCGGTCATGAAGCTAACGACCGTTTCAAATGGGGGCTTGTTAGGAGAACTGGGATGACTTCGGGTTGGTGTAAACAACTTCGTCTTCTCGAACTTCTGACACAATTCTTTAGACTGCGTTAGCCCAAGTGCATCCTCCAGCTTTACAAGATCTTGTTCTTCCTCCTCTTTGATATGACGCTTCAGGTCTTTGAAGAGCGCCTCCAACGTGGGGAGGAAACTATGGTCTTCAGGTCTCAGCTTCTGGAATTCGTAGAGTTGCTCTTTAACCTTTCATGTCTGTTAGCGCTCTTCCGCGGAATTATATGTATTAAAGGGGGCTTTCAGCTTTCAGTACCTTTTGATGCTCCTCGCGATCCTTATCAGCTCTATAGGCTCCATCAGGAATCGCCTTTTCTAAGGTCGGATATACGACGAGCTCCTCTGCAATTGAGTGGCGTGATAGCTCCCAAATGAAGATATTTTGAAATCGCCTCTGCTCGTCGGGGTCTTTGGAGCTGACAATGCGGTTGTAGTAATCTTCTAGCTCGCTGTGGTCTTGTTGAATAGCCTGGCTTATCTTGAATATTTGGCTGTGTTCGAGAGATTCGGCTTTGTTTCCTGGAAAATGGTGTTCTGCGAATGTGCGCTGAAGAACGTGTGAAGGGGCTGGACTGTAGACCCTCACCGGGGTCCTTACAAACCGGACGAGACGACTTGATTGACGAAGCATTCTTGGTACACTAATGAGGTTTCTATAGAGCGATAAATATCATTATCAAATGCCATACTTGCATTGGCCATACCTAATATACCCAACCCATCGCTCTTACATAGAATAATGACGATCTAGATGACAGCATCTCACCGTCACATTCACGTCTTCGAGTTGAGATTGGGGTCTGTCGGAACGGGCCGCCAAGCATACTATGATATGAGCGACGAATCAAGGCTCACATTTTATTCATCCTAATAAAGAGCTATTATATAAAAACTGGCGACCATATTGATTCAAGTATTGCTTAATCTATTCCCTCGAAGTAGATGATCATTAAGTGATATTTACTAACACGCTTAATTTAATATTTCCCTTTATTTAGGTACCATAGCAGCAAAGGGTAGTTTTAAGAAATGGTTATTAAACGTAAAAATTATTTTATATTTGAAAATTATTTTTTAATAAATAATTATTATTAGCCAAAAAATATTTACTTATTTAATTTATATAAAAAAATATAAATATTAAATATAATGTTTATATTAATAATTATTTATATTTAAATAATATATTTTAAAATTTTAAAAATTAAATAATAATAATATATATTATAATTATTTAAAAATTTAAATAAATAATATATTTTATAAATATTTAATATTTTAAATTTATTTTTTTATTATTATTTATATATTTAAATATTTAATTTTTTATTATTATTTATACGTTTTATTTAAATTTTTATTATTATTTATATATTTTATTTAAATTTTTATTATAATTAATAAAAATTTTAATTATAAATGATTATTTATTAAATATATATAAAAGTTATAAAATATTTTTATAAATATATTATTTAATATATTATTAAATATATTAAATTATTTTAAAATAATTATTAATATTATTTTATTTTATTTAATTATAACTCCGTTTTTATTTGGTAAAAGATTAACAAATATTAATTATTTTAATAAATAATTAAATAAAATTAATTTAAATAAATATTTTTTTTTATATTTTTTTATTTTATTATTAAATATAATAAATTTATAAATAATATATTTTATTTTATTATTAACATATTTAACGGTAATATTAATAAATATAATTTAAATAAATTAAATAAAAAGAAATTTTATAAAAATATAAAAAAATAATAAATAATATTAGTTTTAATATAAAGTAATAATTTTTATATTATTATTATTAATTTTTTTAAAAAAGTTAAAAATATATATAATTAAATAATATTAATTTTTTTATTTTAAATTAATTTTTAAAAATAAAATAATTTTATTTTAATTATAATAAAAATAAAAATTATTATAAAACTATATTTTATTTAACAAATAAACTTTTATATTTTATATTTATTTACAATTAAAATAAATATATATATTATTTATTTATAATTAATTATTAATAAATTTAAATATAATATATATATTTTAAATAAAATTATATATTTTAATAATATAATAAAATTTTTTATACAAATTAAATATAATAAAAACGTTAATATTAATAAAAAAAACCTATTAACTTTTTAAAAAAATTTATAATTTTAATAATTTATTAAAAATAAAAAATATTTAATTAATAAATTTAAAAATAATTAAATATAAAAAATCTATTAATAATTAATAAAAAAAATAATAAAAAAAAATTAAAAACCAACTTTATTTATATTTAAATATGTAAAAATAATAACGTTTTAACAGTATAATATTATTTATAACTTTTAACCAAAAATTATTTATTTTAAAAAATTTAATAAAATATAAACCGGTAAAATTAAACCCGCGTTTTTTTATCAAATTTTATATATTTTTACAAAATAAATAATAAACATAATATAATAAAATATACCATAAACCACTTAAATTAATTATATTAAAAAATAAAAATAATAATAGTAAAATATAATTTAAATAATAAATTTTTACTATTTTTTTTAATTATTAACAATTTTTTTTAATAAAAAAAATTATAAAATTAATAATTAATTTTAATTTTATATTAATTATAATAAATTAATAAAATATATTATATATATATATTTTTAAAATATTATAAATATATAATTATTAAACGCAATTATTATATTATTATTAATAAAAATAAAATAATAAAAAATAATAATATAAAATATAATTAAATTTATATTTTTAATTGATTAAATTTTTAAACTTATTTATAATTTAAATATAAACGTTACTTTTTTTTACTTTTTTTATTAATTATAATATAAAAAAAAAAAAAACATTTTTTACATTTTAACGTTAAAATTTAATAATTAATTATTTTATAAACTTATAATATTTATTAAAAAAATTCGCTAATTATATTATTTTATATTTAATATAAAAAATATAATATAAAAACCATTTTTATATTAAATAAAAAAAAAAAAATTAATATATATTAATAATAATTAATTTAATTAATTTTTTATAATATTAAACTATTTAATTTTAAAAATTATTAATGGTTTTTTTATTACTTTTTTATTAATATATAAATTAATATTTTAATAATTTATAATATTATTTTAATTAAATTAATTTTTATGTTTAAAAAGTTATAAAAATTATTTCGAAAATTGTTTTAATAAATGTTATAATAAATGGAACGCTAAAAAATTTATAATTAAAATATGCGTTTATAATTAATTAAAACTTTATTTTTCTTAATTTTATAAACCAAATTAATTTATGGTTAAAAAGATTAAGTAAAATTTTAACCAAATAAAAATATATTATTATAAAAACAAATATTAATTTTAATTTAAATAATTATAAATGTAATTGGTTTATATTTAATATTATTAAATTTATATTTAAACTTTTTTTGGTTAAATTTATTTTTAAATAATTTACCACTAAATAACTTACCGTTAAATAATTTATTATCGGGTAACTTATTATTAAATAACTTATTACCAAATAACTTACCATTAAATAACTTGCCGTTAAATAACTTATTATTAAATAACTCGTTTTTAAATATATTATTTATAACGTAATTATCCAGTTATAAATCAATAAATACGCTTTTAATAAATTTACTTTTAATAAATTTATTTATATTAATAATACTTTTATTAAATTTAATAATAATATATTTATTTTTATTAAATAATATAAAATTTAATGTATTAAATTAATTATTACATAACGTATTAATATATATACCAAATAAAAAAATATTAAAAAATAAAAATAAAAATAAATTATTAAATTTAAAACGTTAAAAATATTAAAACTTTTATAATTTAAATATTTATTTATAAACTAATATATTTTAAATATTTTAAAATAAAATTTATATAAAATTATTTAATTTAATATTTTTAAACTTTTTAATTTTATAAATTAATTTAAACATTTTATAAATATTAACGCATTTATTTAAATTAATATTTTACTTAAAATTTATTATTAATTATTTAAAACTTTATTTAATATTTAAATTAAAAATAGTTTTTATTTTAATAAATTTATATAATTTACTATTAAATAAATAAAATATATACCGGAAATATTAAAAAAAAAATTATATTTTATTAGTAAAAATCTTTTAATAATTAATAATAAATGTAATTTAAAAACTATAAATATATTTAAATATATTAAAATTTAATCTTTTTTTAATTTATTAATAAAATAATAAAAGATTTATTTTTTATAACTTTATTTTAATTAAATACTTATTTATAAAATTATTAATATATCCTTTTTTTATATTAATATATTTTAAATATTAAAATTAATAAACTTATATAAAAATTTTTAAATAAAAATTTATATTTTATAATTTAAAATAATTTTATAATATAATTAAATAATTTTTTAAATTAAAATAATAATAAA